GCTTGGAGGCAGAGGAAATTCCTCGATCATTTTTTGTAATCGAGTTACTGGAGGAATCGTTGCAGCTCTACATGAAATAACACACGACATTGACAGCTTTGTAGCAACAACACTATTTGTCAGCTATGAAAACACAGCAGCCTCTTGTTTGGCTCCTGGCATCAGTTTAGTCAAACTATTGGAGGTAGACTGTGACGGATCATTTAATGCCATTGAATGTTTTCAGCTGTTTGACTGCTGCAGTCTACTGACGACGGCTAGACGGCACCTTTTGTCTATTATAATTCTTCTTTCATCCCTTGTAAATTCATGTGCCAATCCATGTTTTACATTTAAAAAAAAACAGAAATTACTTAATTACGACGAAAACAAAGGAATATTATATCAAATTGGACTTTTTACCACCCCCGGACCACACGGTACGTTCTCCACACGCCCACTAGTTAAGGACAAGCAGAGGTCAGCCTGTGAACGTCCTACTGCAGGATTGTACTTGCTACGTCTTATTTTCATACTTTTTTTGTATTGTGTATTTGTGATGTTGGGTGTGGTCATCAAAATGGGATTATGGGCTTGTTTGCTGCCACTATACATAGTGAATGTGAACTGTGAGAAGGCTTTTATATTCACTTCCTCTGGGAGCCCAACTGTCTGTTTGTAGGTGGAGAACAGAGTGCATATGGTGTCTGGTAACCAGGCTTTTTGTGTGGGACTTTCCATGTTCAGATCGGAACAAAAAGCTTCATGCTCTTTGACTGAAAGTCAACAAGTCACTGGTGGGTTTTAAGGATGTAAAAAGATCTGAATGTTCCTTCGTGTTGTCTCGGCGTGTGATACCAACTCTCTGTTTGTAGATTTAGATATTTATTAGGTGTTGTGCTGTCAGGTCGCATTCACTTTTTGAATCTGTGAGGCAGCTCAGAGTAAGAGAAGTGGTGTCAGAGGATACACAGAGCAAGAAAAAGATGCTGAGTGTTTGTAGCAGTGCGGTAAAGGTGTCAGACGACGCACCGGGTTCCTGTCTACCGTCTCCAAAACCCAGAGGATAGTTAACTAACACTACCAGGCCAACTTAAGATGTGAGATACATGTCAGTTATATCTTTTTACCATCTTTGAAATTGGGTTGTGTGTGGTCCTCCCTGGAAGGAAATTATGAAAACTGATCAATTAAGCTCACATTTATTAAGATATAACATTAGAAATATACTTAACATTGCTCATTTTAACAGGAGAAGCTTCTTCATAGCCCAAAATGACAAACATCTCGTCAAACATCGAAAACTATAAAGACTGACTCTTTAACAAAATGTGAATACCTCAGACATCAGCATACAGAATATTATATTTCTTGTTCCTCCACCTCACTTAATCAGCGTTAATTAGCTCCAGCTGGGTAAATCTTCCGGCCACAGTTGTCATTAAAGTGAGATGTAAGAGGCCGCTAGAAAATATTGAAGTCGACAGTGTGTTTACAGTGTTGTGGCTGGCCCAACTAACGCTACGTCTATTAAAGGTTCACAGGTTACCGAATGTGACACAGTTACAACCGGTGAAATCCAGAGTTCCCGGATTAAACTGTCACTTGCTACAGCTTATTAAGACACTATTAATCATATAAGTTGTAATTAAAATCCTGGCTCTGGTCATTTTGGAACATTTTACTCTCTTTCAGGGTCACTTCAGCAGCGGAGATTTAATTCCAGGGATCGTGTGTGAAACTCCCACCGAGCCCTTCCCTGACCAACAATAGCGTTAGCGCGGCTGAAAGTGCGCAGAGACTTCCAAAGTGGAACAAAACTGGGTAAAATCCTTGAAATAGAGTTTAATATGAAGCAGTCAGAGGAGCTCTTCCACTTGTAGAAACTGTAGAAATGAGTTGTGGCTTTAGGCAGCTGTTTTTTAAAGCCAGCATTAATCCCATGAGCTGCACTGACCATGACTGAACACACTGAAGAAAGATCATCGACACACAGGAACACAAACAGAAGGAAAAAGAGATCGTTGATCAGTTTCATTGACAGGACACAGAACAGCTTCACAGGCCGACATTGTGTACTTTTGCTTATAAATATTATTTCCTCTCAGTAGAGCGTGGCAGCATTCGTCTGGGATTCCTGAATGAAACTTAAAAATAACCGAGTGTGACTCTCAGTTTGCGGCGCTGCACGAGAAGCTGCGAGGCTGTTATCACACTTGTGTTGGACGGCACAGAAAAGCCTCGCAGGTTGCCACGCTTTTGATGTTGTGTTAGAGAGGACAAACACGGAGCTGCAGTGCTGCAGGGATTGTAATTCACTGCCGACTCGCTGGCTAATTTTCAAGCCTCGGATACATCCACCGGCCCTGCAAGGCCCCCATCTGTAATACCGTGACCTATTTGTGTATAATCAGCAGCAGATCACTTGCCCGGCATGTTAAACTGTATTTGTATTCACTTGATTTCTCATAGCAGTAGAGTACAGTAGTGTTTGCAGCTTTTGAAGGGGAGAGAAGTGGATT